TTTTATTTCTTAAGTGTGTGTGTGTGTGTGCACACATTTTTTTTATGCAAGTGTCTTTTGCACAGGTGAGCTCAGGTCCCTGGAGAGTAGGAAAGAGGACATCAGATCTCTGTGTGTGCCTGTTCATGTGTACATCTGGAAGAGAGCGTCAGAGCTGAGCTGCAGTTACAGTGGATGTCGGCTGCCCATCATGGGGCCTGTGAAAGATCGTGGGTCTTTACAGCATAGTAGACACTCTTAACCACTGAGCCGCCTCTCCAAAGTGACGCAGGAGCAGCACAAAGAGAAAATCTCATCATTATGACTATCATTAAAGGAAGTTAGGAAATGCTTAAGAACTTAGTTGTTTACTGATTGAATATTTGAAAAATATAGATCACAAATAGATGAATAAAGTATCAGTTTGTAGCTAGAATGATTAATTCTGTTTAGTAGAGGTTCAGGTGCTTCTAAGTTACATATTATTTGAAAAAAAAAAAAAAACTTGGTTGCCAAACCCATCCCTTCCTGGTGCTCCCAAAGGCTGATATGACTGACTTAGGATATTTTTGCAATTTATAAATATATCTGTTTTTTTTAGTCCATTGTTCCCTAGAAAAGAATAGAAATGTGGGTAATTACTAACTCATGAGTAAGAGACTTCTCTATCAGTAGAAAATGTTTGGTAGAATAATCAAAATTGAATTCTTATGGGAGAATGCCGAGCTCTTATTTTAGCATCTGAATCCTATAGACAGTCTCTATAGGGAAAGAGAAGTTCACTGCTGTGTGCTTCAATAGCCCAGAATATTGTTGTTGTTGTTGCCCCTCATTTTTAAAAGAAGTTTCTAAAATCATAAGATGGGATTTTTTGGTTTCATTTGATTTGGTTTTTAATCCCCAAAGATTTAAAGAGCCACAAGTGATTCATAGTCCAGATGATCTTAACTGTCCAAATATTTCTGAAGATTCTATCACTGAGCTATCTGTGAGCCCTGAACAAGTGCCTAATGGGTGTGCTATTAATACCCCTGCCAGCTGGTGCCAGGCATTCTTCTCATGGTGAGCCAGAGGGCTATTTTGAGGAAGTGCTTCTCAGGTCATCTAAACTGAGGGAAGAGAGAGAGTGTAAGTCTAGACATCCAAAGAGGACATGTATGCATCCCTACACCCATTCATTCAACAACTTTTATTGAGTGCCTACTATGTGCACAATTTGAGTATTGATACCTAATTCAAAAGTACAGGATTTGATGTACTTTTGAAGATTATGCAGTGAACATTTGGTCTATTAAGAGCTGTTTGTATAGAAAGCAATTGCCTTGTACCTTTTTGAAATTTATTTAAGATGAGCAATGCAATCTTTAGAGAATCTATACTTATTAGTCCTAGGCATTGGAAAGTAAAGCAATGCAAATTTAAACTGAGTTATATAAAATGACTCATAGCAGTAAATGGAGTGCTTGCATAATAAAGTTGTCATTATCTATCAGCTTATGCAAAAGTGTATTAAAAATTCAAAAGAACTTATTTCTCAACTGCTATAATAATGTATCTCCTTCATACTTAATTTGATTTAAAATTTTCTATATTTAACAGGCAATAATAAATATTTTATGCTAACATTTAATTGATTATAAATATTTATTTAATTTTTAATATTGGTTAAATTGCTGATAATCCCATTATTCAAAATAACCAATCAGAAATTTATATAAACATTAATTTTCTTGTAATTTTTGTACATTATACATTTTTAGTAGTTTGGTTTTTAACCTGCTATTCCACCATGAATATTTTTCTATCAATGACTATTCTTCAAAATACAGTAACTGGGGAATGAATAATGAAGAGTTGGAATGGAAGAGGGCTTGGGAAAGGAGATATGGACGTGAGAATAAGGCATAGCGGCATGTGTGTGACGTCATGATGAAATGTGTTACATTGTATGCCAACCTTAAAACTAACATTGAAAATCGTTTTCTTTGTTTCCCCCCTTGGGTTTTTGAGGCAGGGTTTCTCTTTGTAACATCCCTCATGTCCTGGAACTCTCTTTGTAGACCAGGCTATCCTCAAACTCATAGAGATACACCTGCCTCTGCCTCCCAAGTGATAGGGTTAAGGTGTGCGCCACCATGCCTAGCTCAAAATCATTTTCAATAGCTGCCTAAATCTGTGGGGCTTTTTTTTAGAGTTTTTGTTTTTGAGCCATGTTATTGTCAATAAAAATGTTAAATCTCATGAAAAAGAATTAAGCCTCTTGCTTCCAAAAGAATATTTTAAACATTAAACTGAGAAAATGTTTATGAAGATCACGTCACAGTGTTTAGCATAGAGTAAGTGTCCAGTAAACACTAGGGGGTTGTATCAGTTAGCACATGCTTAAGTCAGTTGCACAGCAAGAAAAGCTAGGGTTCCAGAATTTCTCCCTAGACATCAATTAAAATAATTCAATTAAATTTTTTGTTGTAAATTTTTAATGAAGCATTTTTAAGTACATGAGATATGGGCCCTTGCTTTCTTTGCTGTGAACCGTTTCTGCAGGCACTCACTCTATTGCCAGTTCCCTGTGAAGAAGTGGCAGTAGCTTTGTGTTTCTCATTTGAAATATAACTCTAAAATTTCTTTCTTTCTTTCTTTCTTTCTTTCTTTCTTTCTTTCTTTCTTTCTTTCTTCCTTTCTTTCTTTTGTTTTTTGAGACAAGGTTTCTCTGTAGCTTTAGTGCCTGTCCTGAAACTAGTTCCTGTAGACCAGGCTAGCCTCAAATTCACAGAGATCCGTCTGCCTCTGCATCCCAAGTGCTGGGATTAAAGGCATGCACCACCACTGTCCAGCTGACCTTAAAATTTCTGATCAGCATTTAAGTATACAATAAGGTACTCACACTTTGAAGTTTCATATACGCATAAATAAATTGCTAAAATTTCTTCAAACTCTTTCTGGTACACAACTGTGGAAAGCCAAAAAGGGCTTAGATACTTGAAGTAGATTAAAATAAAATTAGCTCTGGGTGATCCAGGGACAGAAGGAAGGACGGGGCTTTGATCCTACTTCATGTTCTGGCTTTGTGGGAGCCTAGCCAGTTTGGATGTCCACCTTCCTAGACCAAGATGGAGCGGGGAGGACTTTGGACTTTCCACAGGGCAGGGATCCCTGACTGCCCCTCAGACTGGAGAGGGAGGGGGAGAGGAGTGGGGGG